ATGGCGACCCTTGTGTTCGCCAGAACCAGTGAACATCCCATGGCGACCCTTGTGTTCGCCAGAACCAGTGAACATCCCATGGCGACCCCTGTGTTCGCCAGAACCAGTGAACATCCCATGGCGACCTTTGTATTCGCCAGAACCAGTGAACATCCCATGGCGACCCTTGTGTTCGCCAGAACCAGTGAACATCCCATGGCGACCCCTGTGCTCGCCAGAACCAGTGAACATCCCATGGCGACCCTTGTGTTCGCCAGAACCAGTGAACATCCCATGGCGACCCTTGTGTTCGCCATGTTCGCAAGAACCAGTGAAGAGCAGGGGTGTCATAGGCACAATCAGAGAACACTGTATAAACATCAGAGGTCCGCGGTTGTTCAACACCCTACCAGCGAGCATCAGAAATATTGCCGGAACAACCGTGGACATCTTCAAGAGGAAACTAGATTGTTTCCTCCAAGGAGTGCCAGCCAACCGGGTTGTGGTGGGTATGTGGCCCTGCGGGCCGCACCCAGCAACAGCCTGGTGGACCATACTCCCAAGTCGAGCCTGGCCTCGGGCCGGGCTTGGGGAGTAGAAGAAATCCCAGAACCCCATCAACCAGGTATCAACCAGGAGTGACGATTCCCATTTACTCTCTACAAGACGAGGTATGGATAGATGTATAGCCCGTCCTCTGCAGCGTTCACAACGTCCCAAAACTGACATACTAAATTGCAACAACCATAACCAAACCTAACCAAACCAAACCAAACCTAACCTAACCAAACCTACCCTAACCTAACCTGAGGACCTGCGAATAGAAAACGGAACGTCACGTCAATTTTTGCGAGCCGCTACGATTTTTAGCACATCAGTTTTGGGATTTATACGGAATTTATACGTCACTTATACGGGATTCATACATCATTTATGATGTATGAAGGATTTGCACGTCATTCATACGGGATTTATACATCATTTATACAGGATTTATACGTCATTTATATGGGATTTATACGCCAAAATGCGACGTACGAGAGGACGTAGCATGGTATTGGAGGGGAGCAAGGTGTGTGGCATGTTAAGGATTGCAGGGATTTTGAGGACCACTTCAACCTCGACAATAACAACCACAACAAACAACAGCAACTATTTTACCAACCACAACATTGATAACCTCAACAGCAACAGTAATAACCACATTACCAACAGCGATAATAACCACAACTGACAACAACAATAACTACAACACCAACAACAATACCTACAACACCAACAACAATAACTACAACACCATCGTTATTAACCACAACACCAACAGCTTTAACTGCAATACCAACAACAATAACAACCACAACTGCAGTTGTTAGTGACTACGCCAGTGTGGTACGTGATGCTGGAACACGTGTGAGGTTAGTACGTGATGCTGGGACACGTGTGAGGTTAGTACGTGATGCTGGGACACGTGTGAGGTTAGTACGTGATGCTGGGACACGTGTGAGGTTAGTACGTGATGCTGGGACACGTGTGAGGTTAGTACGTGATGCTGGGACACGTGTGAGGTTAGTACGTGATGCTGGGACACGTGTGAGGTTAGTAATAATAATAATAATAATAATAATAATTTTATTTAGGCAAAGGTACATACATAAAGAGATTTTACAAAGTTTGTTGGCTTTACAGATAGGAGCTATGCTGGAACACGTACATACAATGCCTAAAGCCACTATTACGTGATGTACAGCAGTACGTGATGCTGGGACACGTGTGAGGTTAGTACGTGATGCTGGAACACGTGTGAGGTTAGTACGTGATGCTGGGACACGTGTGAGGTTAGTACGTGATGCTGGGACACGTGTGAGGTTAGTACGTGATGCTGGAACACGTGTGAGGTTAGTACGTGATGCCGGGATGCGAAGTTGTGTGTTTGTGTGTGAGGTTCGAACGTGATGTTCGGGCGATCGAGGTACGAATGGAAGTACAACGTCCATTCAACGAACTATGTGGCAACAACTCCAATTCATTATAAAGGGATTCGTTGTAACAATAGATGCGTACAGGATGCATTTCCCACACCCAAGGGAGCCGGTCGGCCGAGTGGACAGCACGCTGGACTTATGATCCTGTGATCCTGGGTTCGATCCCAGGCGCCGGCGAGAAACATTGGGCAGAGTTTCTTTCACCCTATGCCCCTGTTACCTAGCAGTAAAATAGGTACCTGGGTGTTAGTCAGCTGTCACGGGCTGCTTCCTGGGGGTGGAGGCCTGGTCGAGGACCGGGCCGCGAGGACACTAAAAAGCCCCGAAATCATCTCAAGATAACCTTATGGGCTAATTTCACTTAACAAAATTTAAATTTCAACCTATAATAGACACCTACCAAGTGTGTTATCTATTAAGGTTAACAAATTAGTAGTTAAATGAGGTTAAAACTTTAACCACATCTTGCTTATTTATCAAGTTCACGGCCGCAAAACTAACATATAGCATATGTTAGTTTATAAAACTAACATGGATAGCAACTCAAGATGAAAACAAACCATAGAATTTAGTTTTAAATACCTCTCAGTAGCATTCCCAAGGCTCCAGCTGTGTCTTATAAGGTTGAGGCCATCTACAAAAATCATCAAAAACGTGGCTGGAACCGTATTAAGAGAGTTACCATTCATACACTAAATATTTCCCACGCTCTGTGGGCTGATTTCACTGAGCGAAATATTAATTTATTCTTGTCATTTGAAGGACAACTACCAAGTTAACCTGTTTTTGCAGGAGATTTTACTACATCTGGGCTACTTCTCATGCCATAGTCTTGCAACCTCATTTTCAAAGTAAAAAGGACATATTTCTGAACGAAAACTGGGGTATTTCAAAATTAAAATGAACCTTGGAATTTGACTTTAAATATGCTCAATGACTTTCCCAAACGCCTTTACTATTTCTTGCAATGTTGATCATGTATGAAAATATTTTAAAACGTGATTGGAGCCATATTAAAAGCTACCTATCGCTGGCCACAAATAAAATCCAACGCCCAACAAAAACAATTCAAAACCGCGTAACAAAAAAATTCCCAAACCTATAAAAATATTTCAAAACAGAAAGCAAAAAAAATCCAAAACACGGAACCGAAAAAATGCAAAACGCCCAACAACAAAATTTTAAATGCCTTACAAAAAAACGGCAAACTAATATAATCTAAAATGTGACTGGAGCCATATTAAGAGTATTACCATTCGCACCCTAATATTTCCCATGCTCTATGGGCTCATTTGACTGAGCAAGATTATAATTTCAACCTGTCATATGAAGACCAACAACCAAGAGAACCCTTGTGTAAAAAGATTTAAACATATCTAGCAAATTTCTTATGACCAAACCTTTGAAATTTCCTTTTCAGATGAAAAGGGGCTTAAATTCTACTGAACAAAAATCTCCTGAAATAGCAACAAAAAAGCACAGAATTTGATTTTGAAAAAGTGGCTTTTCCAAAGCCCCAAACTATAATCAGACATGTTGCCTCCAGCTGTGAACTGGGTCCCAACATCGTAAACAAATATAAACATCCCTGGCTTCAGCGAACTCTTGTTCGTTGAATCTGGTGAGTAAATCTGGCATGGAAAATGAAAGGTTCAACTCGAGATTCGCCGAATCGAGGTTCGTTGAATCGATGTTCACTGCCTCGAGGTTTGCTGAATCGAGGTTCCACTGTACTTAAAATCATCGGTCGCCCTGGCATGAGAGAACCTCTAATAGACCTGTCAATATGATTCCACTGAATCCACAGAATTTAGTGGAATCTCATGTGTATAACTTAAACCATGTTGTGGTCCAGAGGTAAGATGTATGGCTAATTGGACGTACCCAAGTCAAGGGTTCGAATCCCCCCCCTCCCCCCGCATTGTTTAAATTGATTTTCTCGTTGATACAGCACGTTAGTGTGATTTCCTTATGTGTATGAAGCTGAAGTGCACGGCAAAAGAACAACCTATTACACCATACACCACACCTTAGTATCATACACCATACAACACACCCTAGCATCACACTACACCCTAGCATCACACTACACCCTGTTAGCTTACACTGTATGCCACATCCTAACATCACTACACCCTACCTGCCAGCCACGCCCTACAGACTTGCCTCAGCGTGCATTTCGTCATTAAACATTTTGTTTAATGGCACCACTGTCCTAGTTCAGAGTTAATTAAAAGTATTCCGTTATGAATGCAGTGAGTGTAGTTTACTTTCAGTGAGTGTACCTACAGTGACTGAAGTTTACCTGTAGTGGATAAAATTTACATTTACTGAGTGCATGTTACCTGTAGTGAAAGTAATTTACATGTAGTGATTGTAGTCTACCTGAAGTGTATCTTAACAGTAGGGAGTCTAGTTATCTTGTAATGAATGTAGTTTATCTGCAGTGAAGGGAAGGGAATTATCAGGGAAAAGCGCCAAGCCATTACGACTGTTATCCTGCGTTTGACTAGTGACGCCACACACCGACGCCACGTCGCTACTGTTCCAGTACCCATCAGTGAACATCTGTCTACACTTCAGCATATCACATGTGCTCTTTCGCCGTTATCATAACAACGTCATCGCCTCTGCAACATCCACGTCGCCTTCCCGTGACGTCACAGCAGCCCGTGACGTCACAACAGTCCCTGACGTCAGCTCAAGCTTCGGGACATTCCCACAAGGAGCGCCACTGTCGCCTCCAGATGTAAACATCCCACCGCTGCCACCAGTATTCGTGCCTCTTGGTCGGTTGTTGATTGGATCTTGTTTGGGTCTGAAGAGAAACACAGTCTGACTTCTTGGACTTTATTGATTATGGTAATAGAATATATAACCGGTACGCCAAGGTCCAGAGGTCCTATTCTTATCTAGGCCTGTGTGGTACTAGCGGCCTACTTGAAAGCGGCTACTGCGCTGATCTGAGAAATGACGTCATATCTTGAGGTTATCTTGAGTTGAATTCGGGGCTTTAGTGTCCCCGCGGCCCGGTCCTCGACCAGGCCTCCACCCCCAGGAAGCAGCCCGTGACAGCTGACTAACTCCCAGGTACCTATTTACTGCATGGTAACAGGGGCATAGGGTGAAAAACTCTGCCCATCGTTTCTCGCTGGCGCCCGGGATCGAACCCGGGACCACAGGATCACAAGTCCAGCGTTCTGTCCGCTCGACCGACTGGTCATGGGCACACTGACTACAGGATTGTCTATACACCAACCGTCTTGGAATTTGAAGTATAACACGACTATATAGCACTTCGAAGGGATC